AAAAACCCTGCCAACACCAAAAATAGCGACCCCGTATAGATACGGGAAAAAGCTACAGAAGAAGAAGAAGTTGGTTTTATTATGATTGACTTAACATGGAATTTGATGATGGAGAATATATAAATATACTTCTTATGTGTGGATATGTATAATAAATGCAAATTTGAAGGTTTCCATATTTTCTCATAAACTGCATTTTTTTTAAAAATATAAATCCCAGATTTCATTCTATATATGACAAGTTTTACCCTGTTTTTAAATTCATTTCTACTCTGATACTTCCTACTGATAGAGATTACATTACAGAAATACTCACTGAAACTTTTCACATCAAGTTCAACAATGAATAGTAACTATACACTTGGTTACAGTGAGTTGTATTATACGTTAGCACTTGCAGAAACATGTTGCAGGGCTTTATGATAACGAGGTGGAGAATAGCCAGTAGTTTCAGTTTCACATGATATTCTCCTGATTATTGATGTAGAACATTCATAAACTTTTTGTTTTTCCTAGGATCAAAGTTAACTTTTAATAAACTCTACAAGCTATCAATTGCCATACTGTATGTAAAAGCTGATATTTGCATGAGGTCAGAAGTGTACTACAATATAGGCTTATCATTCTGCTAAATTTATTGAAACTAAAGGAACATATTGTGATCTTGTCTCTATTAAAATAATTGAGCCTGTAATAATAATATTTTACACCAAATTCAAACAAACTAAGAATGCAAGGTTAAACTGTTTTGGTTGGTTGGACAACTCAACAATTAGTTCACACATAAAAAGAATGACTCAGAAACAAAGACAAATAACAGTTTTAAAATGATTTCCTCTATTACGTAACAAATACTGAGAATAATGAAATTCTCACCTGTCTGAAGTCCACCCACAAAAAGAAACCTGCTGCTGATTCACACACAGGAAGGCCTAACTTTTCTAGCTTGTTTTTACTCAGTTGATAAGTCTTAGCCAATCGTGAACAATTCTCTTTAGTAAATGTTTCACACCATTCTGAAACATGAAATATTATAAAGATAAGACTCTAGTAAATGTTTCACACCATTCTGAAACATGAAATATTATAAAGATAAAACTCTAGTTAATGTTCACACATTCTGAAACATGAAATATTATAAAGATAAGACTAGTAAATGTTCACACCATTCTGAAACATGAAATATTATAAAGATAAGAGTCTAGTAAACGTTTCACACATTCTGAAACATGAAATATTATAAAGATAAGACTCTAGTAAATGTTTCACACCATTCTGAAACATGAAATATTATAAAGATATGACTCTAGTAAATGTTTCATACCATTCTGAAACATGAAATATTATAAAGATAAGACTCTAGTAAATGTTTCACACCATTCTGAAACATGAAATAGTATAAAGATAAGACTCTAGTAAATGTTTCACACCATTCTGAAACATGAAATAGTATAAAGATAAGACTCTAGTAAATGTTTCACACCATTCTGAAACATGAAATAGTATAAAGATAAGACTCTAGTAAATGTTTCACACCATTCTGAAACATGAAATATTATAAAGATAAGACTAGTAAATGTTTCATACCATTCTGAAACATGAAATATTATAAATATAAGACTCTAGTAAATGTTTTATACCATTCTGAAACATGAAATATTATAAAGATAAGACTAGTAAATGTTTCACACCATTCTTAAACATGAAATATTATAAATATAAGACTCTAGTAAATGTTTCATACCATTCTGAAACATGAAATATTATAAATATAAGACTCTAGTAAATGTTTCATATCATTCTGAAACATAAAATATTATAAAGATAAGACTCTAGTAAACGTTTCACACCATTCTTAAACATGAAATATTATAAAGATTGAAAAAATCAGTAAAATTAAATTTTTCTAACATAATGACATACAGCTTACAAAACTTGTAGACTGACATAACATTATAATAATCTACTCCATGCTTCCCATAGGGAATGAACCCCAAATTTTAGCATTCTAATTCCTCTACTTTACTGTTAAGCCATATAATTAATAAACATCATTAACGTTTTGCTGCAGTTTATAAACAGAAATAATAGAATTTGCTACGAGTGATGTTTATTCTTTTTTGGATATTTTCCTAAATTACAAGATCACACTAGCCCACCGTGACCCGTTGGGTCACCCACTATTCAGAGGTTAAGAAGAATTCAAGCTAATTTCAATATTGCACCAAAATGAAGGTTTATTTTGAGATAATTTAATTAAATATTTCAATCCATTCGTGTTATTCATAATTCAAGAAAAGATATTTGATTGTTGATCGGGAGTAAAAGGAAAGATCATTTCATTTTTCAAAGATGATGGGAACATTGACAGGGAAATAGATTTGAATGAAGAAGTTTCGTAAAGAGCGCGAACGGTAGTGTGATGTAAAATTACTCATGCTAGAAATTTTCATAAAAGTGACTCAAAAAATGGCGCTAACTCGGTAACCCGTGGCCCGATTTTAACGAAACTTGTTTTATTCTGTTTCTAATCTCATTTCATTACAAGTATGTATTTAATTATAGACAAACAATCTCAGAGTTTTAGTAGTATATAGATAATTCAAGTATATATATAGTACTTGTAGTTTTAAAAAAAACTGTGTCAAACAGGTGTCATACAATTATTACTTCAAAAACAGATACAAAACAAGCCATATGTTAGCACTCAATCAGCAGTCGTTTCTCAAGTAAAATCACACTACTGGTGTGTAGTTGGTGCTTTGTTGATACATTTTTGTAGTTATCCATTACATTCCTGATTAACAAATAAACTACCACAAAAGAAAATATGTCACATACAAAGCAAACAATAATATGCAGGTCAAAGAACAATGGGATAAGTCCTCAGAATAACAGGAAATTTGATCAGGAATATTACCGAATCTCTGAATAACTGAGTATGAAAAGGAAAGAGACTGGAAACAAGGTAATGCACGAAATGAACAACCTGTATTGATTCACAAACAAAGTGTGTGTACTTGCTGTTGTTACATACAGGATGGTCACTGTTACTGGATCTTCTTCAATATCATGTACCAGACTGTTTAAATCCAATGTTTCATAGTGCCCAAGAAATGTCATAATTATACAAAGCAATTAGCTCTGGCCACATGATTGGCTATTCTCATTCAAACATAGGTAAGGGTGTAAACTCAAAACACCACCGCTTCTACCATTGAAGGACTCTGCTGTTGACATTTTTGTACAACATGTACTACTAGAGCAATAATTCTCATGGGCAGAACAGGTAATATCTCCTAGAGAATGACAGATGAACAAAGGCAGCGAAAATGGCATGAACTTAACAGCTTTATCAACATTTCATGTCAAACCTGGATATTTACAGAATAAAGGATACATTTAAAACAATACTACGATAATATAAGAAGGTAGAGATTCACAGCATATTTATATACCAAAATATAACAGGTACCAAGCCTGGAATAAAACTATAGAAACCAAAATAACATATATTCATTATTATAAAACAATATCAAGTATAACTATTGTTATGGTGTGAAGCTGGAGAAGCATAAAATACTTCATTTGTCATAAGACGTTATGTTAGGCTTATTATAGTTTTAACACTACATTCCTAATCTAGTCACTTGTAAAAGGTGTTTACACCATAACAATTGTTGTTGTAACAAATTGCCCATATAAATAGTATTCTGACCACTACTGTGTTCATTATACATCGTCAGTAATGGATATGATGAATCGAGTGTGGTTGAAATGCCCTTGTTATACACTTCTAATTCTTGAAAACCTGTAAGCGGCTAGATTAGGAATGTAGTGTTAAAAATATAATAGGCCTAACTTAGTATCTTATAGCAAATATAATAGGCCTAACATAGTATCTTATAGCAAATATAATAGGCCTAACATAGTATCTTATAGCGAATATAATAGGCCTAACATAGTATCATATAGCGAATATAATTGAGTATAATTAATAGTAACTTTCAACCATAGTAAGCAATAACTTTCTTTAATAATACAAAGCCAAAACTTACGCAAGTCTTCCATTAAGTAAGCACTAATGTTCATCACTGAAGATGGTATTGTACAAAAGGAGGATCCCTCTTTCAAAACTGTTTGCAAGGATTTGTTTCTCGTGTAAATAACACCTATTCGAAAACCTGCTAGTGCAAAATCCTGAAAAGCCATATAAAAGAAAAATTAGTTGCAGGTAAAATATAAATATGTGTGTGTGTGTGTGTGTGTAAATCTAAACTCTCATATATAAAGAACACACACATATATATATATATATATGTACACACAAAACTAAACTGAGTTAAATATGCTGAATTTGCACAAGTTGTTTCATGTACGACTTAATAAGAGGAAATGAAATAACATTTTACAAGATTAATCAATCTACACAAATCTTCTCAGGGCAAGGTAATAAAGAAATATACTCTTAACTTAATAAAACTAAAACACTACACCATTAACTTAATGAAACTAAAGCACTACACCATTAACTTAATGAAACTAAAGCACTACACCATTAACTTAATGAAACTAAAGCACTACACTATTAACTTAATGAAACTAAAGCACTACACCATTAACTTAATGAAACTAAAGCACTAAATCATTAACTTAATCTTTAGTTTTACCGAGAATTATTAAGTAATGTTCTACTAACTAGCATAGCCTTTGCCGGTCTTCTCAAAACCTAGAAAAAAGTATAGAATAAAACTTTCTACTAATTATGATCAGTCTGTTTAAGTCTTCTATAAATTATTCATTCTATAATGAAGTAAAAAAGAGACTGTGTTATACTTACCTTACTTAAACCATACAAAATGTGAGTTCTTTCAGGATCAGGAATAGGCAGTGTCAAGGTACTTTTAAATTTGACGTTTTTGTCATAAACTGAAAGTGCATACACTTCATCCATAATAGCATGTATTCTGTGCCTACAGCATGAATGAAATAATTTTTAACATTAAAATATGTGACTTAAACAATCAAAAAAAAGGAGAAAATTAAAATTTATTTTAAAATTATCATTTACGATTGATAATTTTTGTTTCATTAGGTAAATGGGAAGTACCACATCTCATTACAACTTATCATATAAAAAGTTCTGACTGATTACTAGAAAAATGGAACTTCCCACATACAGTCAAGAATAAGATCCCCAAATGTTCAAATATATTTCAAGGTCAAATATGAAAGTACAGGATCAATGTTATTTATCTATTAATTCAATAAGAACAGAAGAAATGTATGTTTCTAAAGACTTCTTGAAGTAGAATCTTAAGTGCAATGTATAATGTCACTGTGTGTACAGATGTATCAAAGTGTAGAGATTTGTTTTCTATAATGAAAACCTTGAGACTTTATTAATAACACGAGTCGTATAGAATACGTTACAATTTTATGGGTAAATCATAAAGTTTACTAAGTTCATATCTCTATGGACTGTAATATTATACAAAAGAAAAATATACCCTGCTCAACTTGAGACAGAATGTCAATCTTTGAAAAAATAAAAATAAATGTTACGTTGAAATTTGCGAATCCATAAAGAAGCAATTTGTTTTTTAGACCCTTAACAACAGACATACATCATAAGAAATGTAACAATAGGCATACATCATAAGGCAGTTTAGTTTGCAGCAAAGCCAAATGAACAAATTCACCAATAAGATATTTAACCTAACACTAAAAATTAGGTAAAATGCCTTGCAGAATTATACATAGGTATAATCACACTTCGTATGATGAGCAATCTTTATGAAATGACGTGACACCATTAACATAAGCTGTAGTGTCATCAGCAGTTTGTTCACACCCCTTATATTTCATTCCTGGAAGTCTGCCGATCATCTGATAGGATAACGTCACCAAGGTTAGACTTATGGTTGGAGTAATATGTCCGAACTATTTCTGAGAAAGAATATTCAAATAGCAAGATTGTCAAATGAAGTAAAATCAAAAGAAACATCCTTTTAATAAAGTGAAATACTCATGCAACAATTAAAGCCAGGTAAGAGCAACAACCCGCCCACACAAAGTGGAAATAATAGTTATGAAATATACTACTTTTCCACCCCATAAAAAAACTAATAAAAAATAGTGTAAAGAAGTTGGGCATATCTCCTACTACCACTAACATGACAATAAACAAGGGTTTTGAAGGACCACAAAAATCAATAGTGTAAAGAAGTTGGGCATATCT